GGCTCCACTGCCAAATCTCCGGGAATTTCCCAATCCAGAGTTGGAAAGCCCCACAAAACGATTTTACTGGCCAACGGACCGTTAAATGTGTTACTGAGTGCCTTTGTTTTTCATTTTTCACTATCTGTAGCACATTTATGATTTCCAAGAACTCAGGACAAAACAGCTCAATTTGAACGAAACGCAGGCAGGCGGCTTTTAGACAAGGCTTTACCCTCCTATTAATTTCATCTTCCATCAGTCCCTGAAATTTACCTTCTTGCTGCTGAAGTCCAGATTCCAGAAGGTCTGGGAAAACAAAGGGGAAGAAAATGAAGCATCAAACTGTCCTACTGATAACAGATCTAGTTAACAGACCTACTAATAAAAATTGTAAGACACAAAATTATATCTAAAAGTACATGTTGAGAGAAATCTGGGAGAAAGGCATCCTCTCTCAATTCCTTGCAAATGTAGAAGTCATTCTAATGTGATCCCCCCTCCACCAACATTGCCACTTACAGCTACAGTTGCCAATTCCAGGTTGGAAAATTCTGGAGATTGGGGGGTGGAACTTGGGAAGGGGAAGCACAGAGAGGAGAGGGACCTCAGCAGGGATGGCCTGGGGTCCACATACTTGAAGGGCCACATTTCACTTCCCGTGTGTCAGCTTAGGTTCACCTTCTAATGTAGGGTTACTAACTCTAGCTTGGGAAATACCTGGAGATTCTGGGGGTTGAGCCTGTGAAGGGTGGGGTTTCTGGAAGGGGAGGGACCTCAGCTGGGTATAATACCAAACAGTCTACCCTCCAAAGCAGCCATTTACTCCAGAGGAACTGACCTATGTCTGCTGAGATCAGTTGTAATTCCAAATCTCCAGGCCCTGCATAGCAGGGAGATTGGCATGGCAGCCATTTTGTGGCAACTGTTCTCAAAATTCCAAAAGAATCCATGGGCTCAGCAAGATCAGCAGGGACTCCTGCCCCGGGGAGTATACAACTTTATTGGGCTTCCATGAAAAGGATGGACTACTGATCTGCTGAGGGGCCCATACGGAACCATAAAAAAACTACCCTCAAGTTGGTTTCCACTGTCAAGAAGGAGGCACAGTTTCCTTTCTGAAAACAGCAAAGGTTTTAACTCATTAAATTCTGAGAAGGCATCAGGAAAGGGCTTCAGTTGCCTGGTTCATTGAACGTTGACTGGACAGACACAAAAACTGGACACCGGTGCGGCGGTGCCATTAAAAATGAAAAACAGAGTTGGTTTAATGGTAATGGGAAAGATTTTTTCACCAGAAGTAAAAATTCACAGTATGAGCGCATTATTGGCAAACTTTATCATCACTTTAGCATCCTTAATCAGATGCCAGTTCACTTGTTTTGGATTCTTGTTTTGTTCCTGCACAACCTTGAAATGTTAACTGGGAAATATGAATACATCGAGGTCAAAAACCACAGGACAAATGGCAAAACGTCTTCACTTTCCAGTGTCCAGCATAAATCCCTGTACCCCTTCTTCGTTACCTTTGAATTGCTTCATAACACCTTCTAGAAAGGAGTTGAGATCACAGAAGTCCCAGATCCTCCACTTCAGCTCAGTAGGAAAAGCCACTGGATTCCCAAAATTCTCCTTCTCCTCACATCTGGAGAGAAACAAAGTTAAACCTGCCAAGCACCCAATCCAGAATTTCAAAGCGGGGGCAAAGGAGAACAGACAAATAGGAAAATGGGCGGTAGGGTGTGTGTGAAGAATTCAGACAAATAGGAAAATGAGGGGTGGAAGTGTTTTGGGGAGCATCTCCAAAGACACCAAAGTGAAGCAGCTTGACTAGCAGAAGAGAATATGGCAGAGATGTAATCTTTCATGTGATAAAGGGGTCATTACAAATATGAATGTTCCTCTTTCATTGCAAAATATTGGAGCATACGGCTTCCTAAAAGCTTTCCCCAGGATCTCAGAGGTTATAAACTAAACTAAACAAAAAATTCCTGTGGCACCCTAAAGACTGACAATTTATTTCAGCATGCACTTTTGTGAGTCACAGCTTGCTCCTTCAGGTATGTGGCGGGAGATCAACTCGGAATTCTACTTATGAGGATGATACAAGGGGGGAGGAGGGGGAGGAGGGGGCTGGAGCACCTTCCCTATGAGGAAAGTCCCAAACTCTTCAGCCTTTCATAGAATGTTAGAGTAGGAAGGGACCTTGCAGGTCATCTGCATACCCTTCCTTTCCATAGAGAATTTACACTTGAAAGACTTATGATGAATTCACACCAAGCCATCCTCTCAGAAGAACATAAGAGCCCTACAGGATCAGGCCCGTGGTCAATCTAGTCCAGCATCCTGATTCATGCAGTAGCCAGTGTTCCCTCAGAGTTGAGAGCTGGTTCAGTTTTTTAGCCTCTGGCTCACACATTTTTGTCGTAGCTCAGGAAGGATGGCTTCAGAGCAAACTGATTTATGCAGTAGCCAAATCGCTCACTCACAACTTTAATGCCAGTAGCTCAGAAAGTAGAATTTTTGCTCACAAGACTCCACAGCTTAGAGGGAGCATTGGCAGGGGCCAGCCAGTTCCTCTGAAAAGCCAACAACAGGGCATAGAGGTCAAGACCTTCCCCTGACGTTGCCTCCTGGCAGAGATTCAGAGGTTTAGTGCCTCTGAATGTGGAGGTTCCCCTCCATCACCATGGCTGGTAGCCAGTGATAGACCATGAATCCATCTAAATCCCCTTTTAAAGCTGTCTGATGCCTGTGGCCATGACACCTTCTGGCAACCAATTCCACATTTTAATCACTCTCTGTGTAAAGAAGTATTTTGTTTTGTCCGCTCTGAATCTACTGCCCACCAGCTTCATTGGATGCCCTCAAGTTCTAGTATTTAGGAGAGGGAGAAAAAGTTGTCAGCTCTCTCCACCCCATGCATAATTTTATAAACCTGCATCTTGGTGTCCCCCCCCTTAGTCATCTCTTTTCCAAACTGAAAACTCCCAAACTCTTCAGCCTTTCATAGAATCATAGAAGGGACCTTGCAGGTCATCTGCACACCCTTCCCTTCCATAGAGAATTTACACTTGAAAGACTTATGATGAATTCACACCAAGGGTGTGGCTACTGCATGAATCAGGATGCTGGACTGGATTGACCTCTGGCCTGATCCTGCAGCGCTTTTATGTTCTTATGAGATGATGGCTTGGTGTGAATTCATCATAAGTCTTTCAAGTGTAAATTCTCTATGGAAGGGAAGGGTGTGCAGATGACCTGCAAGGTCCCTTCTATGATTCTATGAAAGGCTGAAGAGTTTGGGAGTTTTCAGTTTGGAAAAGAGATGACTAAGGGGGGGGACACCAAGATGCAGGTTTATAAAATTATGCATGGGGTGGAGAGAGCTGACAACTTTTTCTCCCTCTCCTAAATACTAGAACTTGAGGGCATCCAATGAAGCTGGTGGGCAGTAGATTCAGAGCGGACAAAACAAAATACTTCTTTACACAGAGAGTGATTAAAATGTGGAATTGGTTGCCAGAAGGTGTCATGGCCACAGGCATCAGACAGCTTTAAAAGGGGATTTAGATGGATTCATGGTCTATCACTGGCTACCAGCCATGGTGATGGAGGGGAACCTCCACATTCAGAGGCACTAAACCTCTGAATCTCTGCCAGGAGGCAACGTCAGGGGAAGGTCTTGACCTCTATGCCCTGTTGTTGGCTTTTCAGAGGAACTGGCTGGCCCCTGCCAATGCTCCCTCTAAGCTGTGGAGTCTTGTGAGCAAAAATTCTACTTTCTGAGCTACTGGCATTAAAGTTGTGAGTGAGCGATTTGGCTACTGCATAAATCAGTTTGCTCTGAAGCCATCCTTCCTGAGCTACGACAAAAATGTGTGAGCCAGAGGCTAAAAAACTGAACCAGCTCTCAACTCTGAGGGAACACTGGCTACTGCATGAATCAGGATGCTGGACTAGATTGACCACGGGCCTGATCCTGTAGGGCTCTTATGTTCTTCTGAGAGGATGGCTTGGTGTGAATTCATCATAAGTCTTTCAAGTGTAAATTCTCTATGGAAGGGAAGGGTGTGCAGATGACCTGCAAGGTCCCTTCTATGATTCTATGAAAGGCTGAAGAGTTTGGGAGTTTTCAGTTTGGAAAAGAGATGACTAAGGGGGGGGACACCAAGATGCAGGTTTATAAAATTATGCATGGGGTGGAGAGAGCTGACAACTTTTTCTCCCTCTCCTAAATACTAGAACTTGAGGGCATCCAATGAAGCTGGTGGGCAGTAGATTCAGAGCGGACAAAACAAAATACTTCTTTACACAGAGAGTGATTAAAATGTGGAATTGGTTGCCAGAAGGTGTCATGGCCACAGGCATCAGACAGCTTTAAAAGGGGATTTAGATGGATTCATGGTCTATCACTGGCTACCAGCCATGGTGATGGAGGGGAACCTCCACATTCAGAGGCACTAAACCTCTGAATCTCTGCCAGGAGGCAACGTCAGGGGAAGGTCTTGACCTCTATGCCCTGTTGTTGGCTTTTCAGAGGAACTGGCTGGCCCCTGCCAATGCTCCCTCTAAGCTGTGGAGTCTTGTGAGCAAAAATTCTACTTTCTGAGCTACTGGCATTAAAGTTGTGAGTGAGCGATTTGGCTACTGCATAAATCAGTTTGCTCTGAAGCCATCCTTCCTGAGCTACGACAAAAATGTGTGAGCCAGAGGCTAAAAAACTGAACCAGCTCTCAACTCTGAGGGAACACTGGCTACTGCATGAATCAGGATGCTGGACTAGATTGACCACGGGCCTGATCCTGTAGGGCTCTTATGTTCTTCTGAGAGGATGGCTTGGTGTGAATTCATCATAAGTCTTTCAAGTGTAAATTCTCTATGGAAGGGAAGGGTGTGAATCTTTCACCTTCCAGCACCATGAAGCTGAAGCAGAAATATGTGGGATCTACTTACCTTTGCAAGGTGCTTCTAACATTCTAGAATGAAAAGAGAGAAAAGAAGAAGAAACTGAGTGCTCAGCTCACGTAGGGTTACCAGTTCCAGCTTGGGAAATTCCTGGAGATGGGGGGAGGGTAGGGTCCTCAGGGAGGACAGAGTGACCATAGGGAACTCACCAAGGGATATGAGGCTATAAAGTACACCCAAAGCTGCCACTTCCTCCAGGGGAAGTGATTCTGTAGTCTGCAGATCCGTTGTTAATTCTGGGAGAACTCCAGCCCCCACCTTGAGGTGGGCAACAATAGCCTCATACTATGCTATGAAGTCTTCTCAGATTCGGTGGGGGGAGGGCCTCCATTATGACCTTTTGGCCACTGGGTGGGGGAGGGGCTGTTGCTTAGGGAAAAAAAAGAGTACAAACCCCGCATGCAGAAGGGCACAAGTTCAATCTTTGTCATTCGCTGCCACAGGAAGTGGTGGCAGCTACAAGCATGGACGGCTTCAAAAGAGAATTTGATAGGCATATGGAGCAGAGGTCCATCAGTGGCTATTAGCCACAAGGTATAGATAGGAGCTCTGGGGCAAGTGATGCTCTGTCTTCTTGGTGCTTGGGGAGACATCAGTGGGAGGGCTTCTAATGTCCTGGCCCCACTGGTGGACCTCCTGATGGCACCTGGTATTTCTGGCCACTGTGTGACAGAGTGTTGGACTAGATGGGCCTTTGGCCTGATCCAACATGTTCTTATGTCATCTCCTGTTTGGAGAGGGTTGTTGTTGTTGTTGTTTTGCTGAGACCTTGGAGATCCTCTGTGGCCCAGAGATGTGGATCAACAGTCTGATGTGGCAGAAGGGAGTTTGATACCTCCACGACTACAGATGTGCTTTCATAAATTCACCAGAGACAGTGTTCCTATAGAGTTGCCAATTTTGGACTGGGGAAATTCCTGGTGATTTGGGTGGAACTTGGGAAAGGCGGGATTTATGGAGGGGAGAGAGCTCAGCTATAGAGTCCCCCTACCAAAGGAGCCATTGCCTCCAGGGGAACTGATCTGTCGGCTGGAGACCAGGAGTAATTCCAGTATGTCTCCAGGCCCCGCCGGGAGGTTGGCATCCCTATATTTCATCTGTGACAGGCTGGGAAAGTATCTTGTGTGAGGTCATGAAATTGGAAGGCAAAGTGGAGTCATTTCAATTCAAGGGCAGGGAAGGAGCACAAACGCTTATCTCAACGGACGAAGCAGGGAAGGTTGCCCAACACAAAATGCACGCGCACAAACACACTCCTTACAATATGCACTGGAAGAGTTTGCATAAGGACTAGGGTTGCCAAATCGGGCCGGGGGGCGGGGAACCCCCCACTTCCGCGGCCCGATTTCCGCCGCAGGGGAATTCCGGCCCGGGGGGAAGCCCGCCCCCCAAGCTGCGTCACCGGAGGTGACGCAGCCATGTTGCCGACGTTGGGGGCGTGGCTGGGCTCGTCGGAGGGGAAAACCATATGGTTTTCCCCTCCGACGAGCCCAGCCACGCCCCCAACGTCGGCAACATGGCTGCGTCACCTCTGGTGACGCAGCTTCGGGGGCAGGGTTCCCCCCGGGCCCTGATTCCGCCAGGGCGGGAATCGGGGGCTCCGAAGCGGGGGGTTACCCGCCCCCCGGGCACATTTGGCAAGCCTACTGCAGCCTGATACAAGTTTCTTAGTTTTAATATCCAACATGGCTTCCCTTCCACAATCTCAGGCAGCATCTGGCCCGAGAAGTCATGAAGGTGACCCAAAAACACAGCTCCTGACTCAGGGATGTTTTCAGGTTTGCACTTACTTTTCTT